AAGGATTATTATTAATGTTTTCACTGCTATGCCCCAGCAACCCAGTTTAACATTTCCAACAATCCTGTATGTGCTGTGATCGTACTGTACCACACTCACACTCCAGCTACAGCCCTGTGTTCTTGCACATTTAGTGAATTGCCATCTGCCTAAATGGAAGTTGCACATAACCCAGAACAACCTTGACTCAAGAGCTGAGATAAGGAGCTGCAGCTAAAATAACCACATCAACTCTAGCAAGATTGGGACCCTGTGATCCTTATCTTTAATTGCTTTCCTTAAGTACTGACATGGGTGGGGAATCATAAAGACTGAAATTTGAGCCAGCTTTGTGACATTAACTAAGCTGTTAGGATGCAATAGCAAAAGCTATAAGTTTCTGGTTCTTCCGTCTTCTTAAATGTAAATAAATTGCTAAAACACTTGAGACCTGATGTTTAACCTGGACCATTTTGTCTTAAATTTTAAGATCACGCATAATGGCGGGAAAGTTCATTTTCCATAGTTTTTAAAAAGAAATCAGCTCCTAAATTAAGACTGAGTTCAAGAATTTTCCATAATTCTATGTAATTTAAGGATAAAATGTGTCATAGATTTAAGTTAAATTTCAGGCCATCGTAGTCGAGAACCATTGAAAGTGCTAAGAATTTTAAACTAAACTCAAAATAAATCAAATTTAACACTATTAGAGTTGTGCTTATGCTTTAATTCACAAGATCAAAATACTGGGCCACAGGATTAGTTTAGATGAAGATGGCCCTTCAGCTATCTGATCCCATCCCTCCAGACCATCAATCCTACCTCCTTCCATCACAGTATCAAGCTGCTTTTTAAATGAGTTGAGAATCCTGACCTCAACCGCCCTTGCCGGTAACCTGCTCCAGTCATTGATTACCCTCTAGATAAGGAAATGTTTCCTGGTGTCTGCCCTGAAAACGCTCTTTGCAGCCCCAAACCTGTGCCCTCTTTGTTCTGCTGCCTCAGGGCATTCCCAAATAGCTAAAAGGAGATGCTTGATATGCAGAAGGATGTATGACAATTTACATAATCCAACGGGGATTATTAACCCCCCACTAGCATATAATGGTCTCCAGATGGCAATGGAGCCTTAGAGAAGTCTGGATTTGCTTCTCTTGCTCTCACGATGGGAAAGGTTTACAAGATTTGGGATTCGAAAGGGTTGAGGGTGGAGTTGGGGCATAGTGCTGGTGATCAAAAGTGAGGAAGGTCTATGAGGACAGAAATTAACATGTCATCAGTCACAGGTTTGGCTCAGGGACTCCTGGCACGTGAACAGATACATAACACTCCAGCAGGTGCTGCAGCTTCTGATGGTCTTACAATGTGGTCTAGCTAGATAAACGGCTAGTCAGTATATGCAGTTAGTATCAGCCTGGCTCAGTGGTAGCACTCTTGCCTCTGAGTCAATAGGTTGTGGGGTTGAGTCCCACGTCAGGACTAGTAATTACATAGTCTAAGATGACACTCCAATGTAGTACTGGGGGGTGGGGATTGCACTGTCGGAGATGCCGTCGTCTTGATGAGACTTTAAACCGAGGTCCTGTCTACCTCTTCAGGTGGACATTAAAGATTGCATGGCGCTGCTCGATAAGAGAAGGGAGGTGTCCTGGCCAACAAATCCCTAAAATAAAATCGGTCACTCACTGCAAGGCTGCTTTTGGTACATTGCTGTGCGCAACTGGCTGCCATGTTCACCCACAAATCACAGTAATCTTATACAGGCAATCCACTTTACAGTATCCTGTGATTTGCTTCTACAACATTATACGGTGCAATCTCAAGTGCAACGATTATTCTTATTGTTATTAATAATAAGCTCTAGCAATACCCCAATGCATACTTTGGGGTCCCCAAGCCTTGGCTTTCTAAGTCTTGGCTCTTGCCAACTTGTGCTCAATACATTCTAAGATTAGGTGAGCACGGTGCGTCCCACTTTATTCCATGCAAAGGGAAATTTCCAGGCAAATGTGGCGCTATCAATAGTTTGATTTGGATGCTCTTAAGCATGGTAAACGGTTTTCTGAATGCATCAGATATTGGACTAAAAAACAATCAGCATCATAGTAACCTGCAAAGAAAGAATTAATAGCCCATCATACATACAACATTCTTCAGTTAAAGGAGCCGCCTGTGGGGGAAAGAATGGGACACTGCAGAAGGAAGAAACCGTAGACCCGAACTTTCTTAACTTCAAGATCACTGTTTTAAATTTAACATCATACAAAATTTTAGAAAAAAATTAATTCTTAATTTTGTTACCTATTTCCCCACAGTTCTTTTTAATCACATAGATAAAACGAAATAAAAATCCTTGGTTTTTATTTCACAAGACAGTTGTTAACTCAACAACGTTCAAACTAGCGATGCATCCAGTCTGAGGCTAGTCAGAAAGATTTTAGCTATTGTTCACAAAAAAAATCCCTTACATTTAAATAACAGTAACACAAAACATACAATTGATGTTTAAGTCCTATACCCACCCTCTTGTACTTGGCCTACGCTCACAGTTCACCCGAACCTTTAGATTTTAACATCCTGATGATTTCTGTGTGTTTTTTATCCCTGGGCGGAACCTTTCACATTATTTTTTGGATCAACCGCTACCTAAACAACAACAGCAACGGCCGGGAACAACATGTAAATCATAGAATTGATAATTTTCTAAAGCACTTTGAGATGTCCTCCTGATGACGTGACTCTATGTAAGTAAAGGGTATTGTATTGCAGTAGGGCAAAAATTTGATGTGCCCAGAAGAGCCATTAATTAATGAATAGTTAAATGTGTGTAATAGGGCAGACAATGCTAGATGCGTGTGATATACGTGAGCCTGATACGTGTATGTGTGTATGTACGTATATATATATGTGTGTTTGTGTGGTGGGGTGGGGGGAGGGGGGAGGCAGGGGAAGAGAAGATACCACACCCAGGATTGAAGAAAAAGGCACTGTGTGATTTTTGTGGTTCTGTTCGCTATTAATCATTTGATGCCCGTTTACATTGTGGGTATAAAATGTTTATCTGAGTCACTGTTTTGCTCGTGGCTTCAGGCATTTCTCGCTAAAAGGTGATTTACACTAGTGTGCTGTTCAACAACACCCAAGCAGCACACTCTACATGTGGGAACAATGGAATTGGTCAGAGGTCTCGAGGAAACACCTGGAGACAAAGTGTTGGTGGTGGTTGTGTTGGTGATGGTTGTGTTGGTGGTGGTTGTGTTGGTGATGGTTGGGTTAGTGGTGGTTGTGTTGTTGGTGATGGTTGTGTTGGTGGTAGTGGTGCCTAGTGGTGGTTGTATTGGTGGTGATGGTGGTGGTGTTGGTAGTGGTGTTGTTGTTGGTGGTGTTGGTGGTAGTGATGTTGGTGGTGGTGTTGGTGGTGGTAGTCGTGTTTGTGATTGTGGTGTTGGTGATGGTTGTGTTGGTGGTGGTTGTGTTGCTGTTAGTGGTGTTGGTGGTGATGGTGTTGGTGTGTGTTGGTGGTAGTGGTTTTGGTGGTGTTAGTGTTGTTAGTGGGGGTGGTTGTGTTGGTGGTGATGGTGGTTGTATTGGTGGTGTTGGTGGTGGTATTGGTTGTGGTGTTGTTGGTGTTGGTGGTAGTGGTGTTGTTGGTGGTGATGGTTGTGTTGGTGGTGGTGGTTGTGTTGGTAGTGTTGGTGGTGGTGGTGGTGGTTGTGTTGGTGGTGGTGTTGGTGGTGGTTGTGTTGGTGGGTGTTGGTGTTGGTGGTGGTTGTCTTGGTGGTGATGGTGTTGGTGGTGGTGGTGTTGGTGATGGTTGTGTTGGTGGTGGTGGTGGTGGTTGTGTTGGTGGTGGTGTTGGTGGTGATTGTGTTGTTGGTGGTGATGGCGTGGTTGTGTTGGTGATGTTGATTGTGGTTGTGTTGGTGGTGGTGGTGTTGGTGGTGGTGGTGTTGGTGGTGGTGTTGGTGGTGGTTATGTTGGTGGTTATGTTGGTGGTTATGTTGGTGGTGGTTGTGTTGGTGGTGGGGTAAATATGTTCACACCTGAAGCAGCCAATAATTAAAGACTGGTTTGGATGGTAATTTTCAATAAGCTGAAGATGCTCATCAGTGATAATTATTACCATTGATAATCATCAAGTCACACGGCCCAATTTTCACCCTGTAAAAACATACAATGTTACAGCCACAGAAACTGACCATTTGGACCTTTTGTTTTCCTCCATGTGAACCTCCAAGTGCAATCCCACCCTCTCACTCAACTATGCTCCTGGCCTTTTTTATTCCCGGCTTTGCTTCTGTTATTTAGGAAGTGGCGATGGGAGAAACATGAAATATTTGTACACAAAGCTATAATATAGGAGTTAATGTAAGCACAAAACAACAATTGTTGGCTATTTAGTCAATGGGAGTGGCAATTATCTAACTGTGAATGCCAAAGAGCAGGCCACTACTTATTCATTGCAGGTTGGCACATGCTGGCACAAGTTCAATCACCGGCAGAGCCACTGTATAAAGCCAGCAATAGCAATAGATATATCCTGGAAACAGCTCTGATAAAGAAAGGGAAAATGAAACTTCATTGGTAAAGAAAACCCTATACAATAGTTTGTGAAATCAGCTGCTTTGTTATACACACACACACACACAACCACACAGAACAATAGAATAACCTAATCACACTACTAATAAGGCAGAGGAGACTTTTTATAAAGGAGTGGAATTCACTTCAAAGGAAGGGGGGAGGGATTAAAACACTTTAAATGAAAAACAAATGGACCTACATTAAACATTACGGCATCTCACAATAAATCCTACTTTGTTACATAGGTAAACATCTCCAAGGTACAAAAACAAACAAACAGAAAGTACACAAAGATGTTGTGACGATTAAGGATAAATGTCAAAAGAAACAATGAGGCACATACATCTTCCAAAATGGATTTTTATTCAAATGAAAAATATGTATGTTCATGACATTACAGGGGGAAATGCAACAGAGAAAGATGTTGAAATTCTTACCTTCCTCAGTCATTGAGTCATAATATTTTAGTTTTCCATATGCTCCAAGTTCTACAACATCACAGTAAAAGAAAACAAATGAGCAGAATGCAAAAAAGCAGATTAAAAGTCAGGAAGCAGCAAAAATGTAATTTAAAAAAGATGCACAGATAAATAATGTGGTTAAAAAATATGTAGTTAATCAGAGGATTTCAGATCCCCAGCTCATGCCAAAGCGTGCGATTTAGAATATTGTTGCATAATTTCATCAATATTCAAATTAAGAAAATACATTGGATGAATGTAATTTTGTTGAAGACATTTATTACTTAAAGTCATTTATGCAACAAGAACAATGCAGTTTTACTAACAGCATCATCCACAGTTTTCTATGGTAAGAAGAAAATGATTTCCCCTCTACTTCCTCTCTCCTAGTCAGCACTTGGACCGATATACAGGAACATAAGCATCACAGCTCCCCTCCTCCGCCCTTCCCTATTTTGCCTAAGTGGGGCCTTCTTCACCCTGAGCCCAGGAAGTGAATATTGGCAAACTATTCAGCCCCATCAGAACCAAACCCAGTCCTGTCCTCATCTGATATACACACACTAGCAGGGCATACTAGATAGTGATCACAGGCTTGGAAATTCACCTACTTTAGTGTCAAGATTTTAGCTTAAAGGCTCTTAAAGATTAAGATTGTGCAAAATTGTGAAAAATTCTTAAATTTAATCCGAATTCCTAAGCTTATTTTTGTTGTTTCAGTTCTTAAAGGCTTGCAAATTTAGACTGGATTTAAGAATTTTATTATTTTAAAAGATATTAAGAGAATAATTTTGGGGCCTCCAGAGTAGGAGTCTTGCTGAATTATTTCCCTTCCTCCTTGTACCAAAGATGTTGATGCCATTTGTAGCACCTACAATCGCTGCCTCAGGTCAGATCAACCAGCTCAAAGAAAGAACCTGGGTTCTTCCTTATCTCTACAGCTCACTTTTACATTGTGCTATATCTTTAACAGCTAAGGCACACAATTACATTTATTATCTCATGATTTCTAAAATATGCAGTATTTTATCTCCTTAAGTTTTTAAAAGACCTCCTTTTACCAAAGGAATGATAAATTTTATAATTTATTTCACTCAATTCCTTGCCCGCAAAGCAATTCATACATTTTCTCACATGAATCATTGTAAGCATTTTGATTGTATTCTGTTTAGCTGCAGGTGCCATATTTGGGTAATAAAAACTAAAATAGCATCAAAAAAGTAACCACCCCACAAAAAAAACACTCCAGTCCAGAGCAATTTAATTACATCAATTGTTATTCTCTGTGTGTTTGCAAGGCTGTGTGGAGTCCTGTAGCTCAGTGGTTAGAGCACTCGCTTTGCAAGTGAGAGACCTGAGTTCAATTCCCGGCAGAGGGCGAAACCTTGGGCAAGTTTCCTTACTCCACACAGAGCCTAATAATAATCCTTCCAAAACCAAAAACAATAATAAATTGGTCATTTTCAATCTACGACTGTTTGTGGGACATTGCTGTGCGCAATTGGCTGCCGTGTTCGCCCACAAATATACAGTCAATTCACTTTACAGTGTGTTCTGTGAAGCGCTTTGGGACGTCCTCCTGACGTGAAAAGCGCTATACCAAATGCAAGGATTATTATTATTATTAAGGCTGTTGAGGATAAAGGAGCCTACACTGTTTCCATTCACAGATTGATATTAGGATATTGAAATCAATAAATTAACATCAAACCATAATGAAGATTAGCTCTGTGTGCATTGTGATATGGCTTGCATGTAATTTATACAGTACAAATGGACGGAAGGAAGGCTCACTTAGTGAGCTGTCACTCCTCGTTACTATTTTTTATATCAGATTTTGATTTCTGTGCAGCAGGAAATGTAAAGTTCTGCTGCCCAAAAGTCCCCTGTGAACATGTGGTTCAGTGAGAAACGTGATATATTCACTATCACATCTGTCACTATATCTGAACCATAATAACCTCAACAGTTCTCTGTTGTGCCAGTTAATTAAGACTGGAGTTGCATCCCCTCCTAAGATTTCAAAGTGATAAGTGATAAGCTAATTCACTGACTATACAGCAGTGTAGAAGAGTGCATTTCTCAAATCAAGATTTGATTCAAAACCTATAACAATAACTTGCATTTATTTAGCACCTTTCACGTGAAATAACATCTCAAAGTGCTTGAGACGTAGTGGTGAGAAGTAAAAAAAAGACTTAGAAAAGTTCACCAAAGGAATGATTGAAGAAGTATGTTCTTAGGAGGATTTTGGAGATGGGAATACAGCAAGATTTAGACAGAGAATCTACCTCATGGTTTCAGATAGAAGAGTTAGGCTTCTCTTCTCCATCAACAACCAGCTCCTCCTCCCACCTTCTCATGCCTCGCCCATCCTCACTTCCAATAATAATAATAATAATCCTTGCATTTAATATAGCGCTTTTCACGCCTTCTCAAAGTCTCAAAGTACTTCACAGAATAGACTGTAAAGTGAATTGACTGTATATCTGTTGGCAAAACGCGGCAGCCAATTGCGCACCGCAGTGTCCCACAAACAGTCGTGGATTGAAAATGACCAATTTTTTTTTGTTTGTTTTTGGAGGGATTATTATTAGGCGTGTGGAGTAAGGAAACTTGCTCAAGGTTTCGCCCTGCCTGGAATTGAACCCAGGTGTCTCGCTTGCAAGGCAAGCTGCGATGCGATGCTGGACTTCCTCGAATCCAAAGTCGAGGGAATCGCTCAGCTATCTCTTCCCTTCTGTCTACTACTTCCTCCCCATCTTCCCCTTACACTCAAGCCCTTACCCATCCCTCCCTCCACACCTTCGAACCTGTCTCCCACTCTTCTCTCACCCCCATTATAACTCACATGAAACCGACCACTTACTCCCTCGACGCCATCCTTACCCTCTCCTTAACTCCCAGCTCCACCTCCTTTCGCCTCTACTCACAAATGTCATAAACCTCTCACTGTCCACTGGTACCATTCCCACCCCTTTAAAAATGTCTGTCATCACTCCTATTCTTACAAAACCCTCCCTGGACCCATTCCTACTCTCAAACTACCACCCTATCTCCAACCTCCCTTTCCTTTCCAAGATCCTGGAACGAGTTGTTGCTTCCCAGCTTCGCTACTTCCTCTCCCGCCACTCCCTTTGTGAACCCCTTCAATCGAGATTTCATGCCGCCCACAGCACAGAAGCAGCCCTGGTTAAAGTGACAAAGGACATTCTGTTCACTGAGACCAGGGCTCCCTCTGCCTCCTCGTCCTCCTTGACCTCTCTGCCGGCTTTAACAACGTCTCTCCTCTCACCTCAACCTTCACGGCACAGTCCTTGAATGGTTTAGATCATATTTCTCACATTGCCTCCACTTCATCTCCACAAAGATTTCTCCTCTAGCCCCCGAACCGTATCATGCGGGGTTACTCAGGGCTCTGTCCTTGGTCCACTCCTCTTCAATATCTATATGCTCCCTCTTGGTGATATCATCCGCAGACATTAAGTCAACTTCCACATGTATGTGGATGACACCCAACTCTATCTCTCTGCTTCGACCCTTGACTCCAGGATCACTGCTATCATGGCAGAATGTCTGTCAGACCTCAAGTCCTGGACAGGGAGCGGCGGCAGGACAGCGCGGGGAGGAGCCTGGGCCTACCTACCCAGGTATTTAAACTTGACGCGGCAGGGAGTGCAGCACAGGGCTGTGGGGATGAGGAGAGAACGGGTGGGGGCGGAACGGGGGAACCGCTGACGTCATAGTTGTAGTTTTCAGAAGTGTGCGCACGCAAAAAAAATAAAAAAAAATCTCTGCGGCCCCCCCCCCACCCAGGGCTCACATCAGAGCCCACCATGGTCCTGTTGGGTTGGCTGCGCCAGCCCCATCCTATGGGATAATGTTTCCATCCACCTGACCGCTCACTCCCGGTCCCCCGCGGCACTCGGCGTTGGCTGTCCAGCAGCAGCCACACCGACTGCCCCATTCCCCACCACACTCGCCAGCCACCCCGGACACAGACCCGGGGAGTCAACCTCTCCTCCCTTATCCCCATTCCCCCACCCCTGCTTCACAACCTGGACCCCCCTCTCCTCCCACACACCCTTCTGTCAACCGCTCCCTCCACATCGGACTACAAAACATCCGCTCCCTCTGTAACAAGGCCCTGGTCATCAACGATCTCATCCTTGATGAGAGCGTTGACATCATGGCCTTAACAGAAACCTGGCTCACCCCAGGCGACACCTTCCCCCTCACGGAGGCCACACCACCCGGCTACACCTCCCACCACATCCCTCGCCCCAACTGTGGCGGTGGTGTTGCCCTTATCTCAAGGACACCACTTGCCCTATCCCCCTACTCCTCTGGCTCTTTCCCCTCATTTGAGCACCTCAACCTCTCCCACCCCTCCTTCCTCTCACTTAAAATCCTCCTCCTCTACCGGCCCCCTAAAACCTCTCCCACCTGTATCTCTGATATTTCGACACTTCTTACATCTCTCTGCTTCTGCTCTGATCGCCTCATCATCCTGGGCGACTTTAACCTGCACTTCACCCCCTCCTGCTCAATCTCCTCAGATTTCTCTTCCCTGCTCTCCTCGCTCAACCTCTCCCTCCACATCAACTCCCTCACTCAGTCACGGCCACCCACTCGACTTGGTGATCACCCGGGGTCTCAGTGTCTCAGATGTCACTATCACCGACAAGGCCGTCTCCGACCACCACTTCATCTCCTTCACCACCTCCACCCCCTCCCCACCTCCACAGACCCACCACCATCTTCTACCGCCCCTGGAAGAAGTTACCCCCACAATCCCTAACTGCTGCCTTGCAGTTCTCTGAACTCCTCTCCCTCTGGCCTTCAACCCTCACTGACCCCTCTGCTGCTCTCACCCTCCTCCACAACACCCTCTCCTCCACACTTGACACTCTTGCCCCCATCACCTCCCGTACTTTCTCCTACTCTCGCTCCTCCCCCTGGTTCACCACCCACCTCCGCTCACTGAAGAGCCAGGTGCGGGCCGCTGAACGCACCTGGGTCAAATC